TTCCTTTCTCAACAGGAACTTTGGAGTTTGAGTGATGCCACCATCCACGAGTCCTGGGGATGAAAGAGAGAGAGACTGGAAACGCAGCCCAAGAGGAGCCTGAATCTGCTGTCCCAGGGAAAGCCTTGGAGGATGACCTTCCAGACAGGAATGGCCTCCATAACCCAGGACTCACCTGCTCTGAGGAGACAAAGGACCACCCAGCAGAGCACATGGTTGCACATAGTGGGAGGGGTCTCCCTTAGCTCCAGATACTTTTGGAAGAGAAAGGGCAAATGAAGCAGGGCTCTGGGGCTCCCCCTTGCTTAATTTGCCAAGCAGCTTGTGAGGCAGATCCTGGAGAAACCCTATAGGGCGTCCCCATTTTGCAGATAGGGAAGCAGCAGAGTGCTGAGCCTCTTGCCCCGCCCAGAACTGCACAGAGCTGCTGAGGAGCTCTTCTCTGATTGCCTCTGGATTTTGCTTCCTTAATGATTGGACTCCTGCAGGAGCACTCTTGACCTCTTATAGAAGATTGTAGATTTCTTTTTTAGTGCCATCAGCTGTCTCAGGAAAGAGTGACTGCAGCCATCTGCGACCATGCAGTTTTAGAATATGGTTAGGGGACACCAAGTTCAATGCTCTGCTGTGCTAGCTAGGCATTGGGTCCCAAAGCCCAGGTGGCCTGGGTGCCTCCTCTCACCACCCTCTCTCTGTCTTCTTGTGCTTCTGCATGCCCTTCCCATTCTCTGATTTTAAATGTCCCTCACTAAATTTTCATTTGCATTTATTCTCGCTTCCCCATATTTTAATTTATTTTTTTCTTTCACTTTTTTTCCTGAGTTCAATCAACTTTTCTCATTTCTGGCTGATGCCAGTTCTGTTCTTTGGTTTTGAACTTCTGGTAATAGGTGACTTCTCAGGGACACGCCTGCCCCTGGACTGTATCTAATTCTGTTGGAAGCACAACTTAAGTTTCCTCCTAACTCAGGTTTGCTTGGGTTCGTGGGCCAAGGGGTGGTGGCAGAGGTGATGGGTTTCCTCCCTCTGTGGATTTCACATTCCTTTGTTCATTTGTGTGTTATTGGGTTCCACTTTAGTGGCATCCTTTTCCTTCATTCTAGGAAAGTCTAGACAGCCTATTAAGTGTTGTCTGGGTTCCTGTGCCAATGTTGTCAAGTCCTCTTCATTTGTGATTCTTTTTGTTTTGCAGGACTCTGGTATTTCCCCCTTTTCCTTCCTCTTTCTTCTGTATCTGAAGACAGTGTGTCAGATTGACAAAGGGTCCATCTTTCTTCTTTGCTATTTTTCCTCCTCCTTCAGAAAACAGTATCTTTGTAAGACTGTCCTTTAAATAATCCCCCTGGTGTTTAGAAATTCCCATTCTCTGCATCTGTCCTGCTCAGGTGGGGCTCAAGGTTTGGTGTCTTTCTGGTGTTCTGGTCTCTCCCTCAAGCCCTCCAAGCAGCAAACTTTCCCTAGCTTCCTGATAGATATTCTGATTTTTCCCTGCTCCCAGTGGTAGGACCACCCAAAGAAATTACAGAAAATCAAAAGACCTGGGCTGGGGATGTGGCTCAAATGGCAACGTGCTCGCCTGGCATGCGCGGGGCTCTGGGTTCGATCCTCAGCACCACATAAAAGTAAAATAATGATGTGTCCACTGAAAACTAAAAAACAAATATTAAAAAATTTCTCTCTCTCTAAAAACAAAACAAAACAAAACAATAAACCAAACAAACAAACAAACAAACAAAACCCAAAAGACCAAAAGTGCAGGACACTACAGTTTACACTCCATGCTAGGAAGCTCTGCTTCATTTGGTACATGTGCATTTAGGTTACTTTGCATTTGTCTGCCATTTGGTTTTTAGAAATCGCTTCATTAAAGCAAATGATAGCAGACTCTTTTTTTGTAGGATGCCCAATATTTTCTGAGTGATAATCAAAAAATATTCATCATGATAAAATACATGTGAAATGTACATTTCTCATGAACAGGAGCTGTAGGCCAGAAATTTTTTCTAAATTCTAGACCAATTTATCCACTGTTGCTTTCCCCCATCTCTCAGATACCCTATGTCCTGGTGTCCATGCAAAGCTGCACAGGCACTGGGCAAAGAGCAAGATGAGGATTTTGCCAGAAAGAATATCCAGCAGCATGACAGTATATAAAATCACAGCATCTCCATCCACACAAATCTGAGTTTGAATCCTGTCTCTGCCACTCACAACTTCTTTTTGCTCTGTTTGTTTAATGAGAAACAAAAATTAACTCCTGGAAGATGTTTGTGCCTGGCAGTGACATGAGTCTGCACTGATGTGGATGTGGAGCTGGCACAGATGTACACTGCCGAGTCTTCCAGGTCAGCTGGCTCCATCTTCAGGGTGCTGGGTCCCTCTCTGGGAAATTCAGCAGAATATCGTTTTCTTGGCATTCCTGAGTCATCGATGACGTTTTCTTTTTGGAGGTGAACCATGAATTTCAGACCTTCTTCAGGGAGCTGCTGATACCAGAAAACATTGTTGTGACCTTTCTCTGGGCTACATCTCAGAGCTGCCTCTTGTCCTCTCCTCCTGATCCGGTATCTTGGGTTCTGGGTGACGTCCGCAATTGTGAGACCTCAGAGGAGAAAAGGTAGTATGGGATAGAATTTTAGTGGCAGAAGAATGAGTGTCCTACAATCTACCAGCCAACAGTGAGCAAAAATGTCTTTGAAGTGTCCTCTATTCTCTTAAAAATTCACATGGACTTTGCTTTTTACTCCATAATTACTTTTTTTTTTCTACAAATAAATATCAATACCTTCAGAAAATGTTTTGGCCAAGAGAAGTCCAGGTTATGTTTTTTGAGAAACAATTGCAGAGCCAGAGACAAAGCCCAATGATGCTGACCCATTAGCTCAGAACGCACCTGTCCCCAGGAGCCAAGTGACCACACAGCAGAGGAGCCTGATGCCCATGGCAGACCTGAGCATGAAGGTGAGCCTGTAGCAGGCCAGGAAGGACCCAGTCTGAGGCAGTTCAGGGCGCCAGACCTCACAGCTGCTTTGCACCAGGCGGGGCTTCCTGTGGGTCCTTTAGCGTTTAGAACTAACCTTGTGGGTTGAAACAGTAGGTCTTTTGTTCTTAACTGTATACACAACCTAGCCTACCGTGTGTGTGAGGCTAGGGCAGCACTGAGCTTCAAGATGTGTACCTTCTTTATCATTCCACTATAGTCAAATCTGCAACATCTGAACGTGAATTTTCTCTACTCATTTGTTCAGGATTTTTTGTCTTTTGTTCCTTTATCTTCCTTTCTTTGGTTCAAATCACCTTTTCATTTTCTAGCTGTTGCTGAATAGAGGTTGAGATCTAGATTATTGTTGATATCTATCTGTTGATGACTAAAGGTGATATCTAGGTACATATAGCAAGAGACAGGGAAATGGAGACCAACATTTTTTTTTTTTTTTTGCTGGAAAGAAAACTGGCAACAGGAAATGCTGTGCTATTTTCTCAGCTTCTTTCTTTTCTCTCCCATCTCATCTAAAAAATGGTTGCATACATTTTGAAGGAATTTTATGTATGGTTTATAATTCTTTTTTTTTTTCATCTTTTGTTATTCCATTTGAAGTTTTGATGTAAGTAACCCACTAGGAAAACTCTATAGTTTTGCTCTGACCTCCTGTCCCCGACTATACATCCATCTATATTATTCTCTACAAACATGTATGGGATTGCTATGTTTGAAAAATCTTCTTCCTTCTGTTGTCTGGCCTCCTTTTTTACCTTTGTAGCACTGAATAAAAATGACATGAATGTGTCCTTTGTTTCAGATGGAATGAAAGTAGAAAGAACAAGGCACCATCCCTTCCTATGTATAGGTTCCTTGAGGACAGAGGTGTAGAATTTGTACATCTAAGATCCTCCATGCTTACACCAATAAAAAAGATCATGCTCATTTTGATATCAAAATAACAATGGTTCGAGGCTTTATTTATATCAAGATCCTAAGTTCTCTTTCAAAGGGTCTCCATTGTTTTGGGGAGTGTTCAACAGGCTTCCCCACATGCACACCAATCAAAATGCAGCTGCTGTCATCCATGGTATCAGATCTGTTCTTCTGGAAATAACTACAAATCATCCATTGAAGGCACTGATGAAAATACCCAGCTTTAAACCCTTATGCCTGGCTATAAGGAACTTTCCCTGGATGTTTTTAATCCTGATAATCCCTGGGCTACTAGAGCATTGTTGGAATTTCCACAGATAATTTCCACTCATTATCTCTGAGTTGTCCCTTGTCACTTTAAGCTATAAGCAGCTCCTCTTGTCTTGTATAGAATCTCACCAACTAGCTTGTGAATGGTCCCATCCATAGTGAGGACTCCCACCTGATCCAAGGGGTTTCATAGAAACAGATGCTTTACAATCCATTTTGCTCTCTTCTGTTCACTGTTGCAAGATGCAGACTGAACTCCCCCCTCCAGACTTAGCTTCAACCAGACATAAAAATGAGTATCATTTGATGCGAACAGTAAATCATGGAAGAAAGGAGTTCAAAAGCAGGGGCTTTGACATTCTGTTTGGAATGGTGGCGATGGTATGCTCTTTGTTGAGCACAAGAGTATTCCAAATCAGCAGTTCAGAAGGCTGTGAGACCCTTGATACCGTGCATGTAATTGCCTTTGGCACTTGGAACTTTCCTGGTAAAGCTTCCAATTCAGATCTCCAAACAGCTCTTTTAATGATCAAAGCATCTCCCTTATGAGCACACAAAGTACTTTCTGATGCCAAAAGACTCAAAACCCCTAATTTTCTTCTTCTTTCCTTCTCATTTAAAGCTCTGGCAATATATCCCCTCCTTTCAATTAAGGAAACACCTTTAAGAGGGAAGTTATTGGTCAAAGACAGGTGGGTAATAAAAGTTATTTTGTGAAATACTGAGTTTAGTTCAGGAGATACACAGGATATAAAATATCATTTAATATAACTTATGTGTCTTCAAAGAAGTAAATTCTTTTTTTTTTCCTTTTTGGTACTGGGGATTGAACTCAGGGGCACTCAAACAGTGAGCCACACTCCAAACTCTATTTTGTAGATCCTGTAGAGACAGGATCTCATTGAGTTGCTTAGCACCTCCCAATTGCTGAGGCTGGCTTTAACTCCGAATCCTCCTGCCTCAGCCTCCTTGAGCCACTGGGATTAAAACATTTGGTAAAACACGTTTGGATTTTTTTCTTTGTCCTTTCTTTGGAGGCAGCTTTATTGAGGTAAAGTGGGCATATAGATAAGTTGTACATAACTAGACAGTCAGCATTTCCACCACCTCTGTGTTTCTTTGTGTCATGTCCTAACCCCTCCTTCACACCCCTGCCCATCTCTATTTCATCCCTAAATAATTAATAATATGCTTTGTTTCTATAGGGATTTGTTTGCATTGTCTAGGTTTCACATATATAGAATGAATAGAATAATATAGTGTCTTAGATCATGCTGCCATAAAATACCATAGACTGGCTTCAACAACAGAAATTTGTTTTCTCAGTCTGGCAGTTGAAAGTATGAATTTGGGGTGCAAACATGGTCAGGTTTTAGTGAGGAATCTTCCTGACTTGCAGATAATGACTTCTCAGTGGCCTCACATGGCAAGGAGAGATAAGAGACGAGGAGCTGTCTGTCATCTTTTCTTATAAGATCCCATCTTGAGGGCCCCACCTGATGACCTCATCTAAGCCTAATTATCTCCCAAAGAACCCCCATATTCAAAGAGCAGCACATTGAGGGTGGGAGTTTTAACATATGAGTTTGCAGAATCATATGTTCATATGATTAAACATCAGGTACAGTATGCACATGTACATTGTCAATGTGTACATCAACAATCCAATCCATATCATGTACAGTATTTACTCATTTTTGTCTGATTTCTTCCATCACTGTAATTATTTTGAGATTCATCTATAGTATGTGCACCTGTGGTTGTGTAATACTTGAGGTCAACTAAGGAGTGCATTTACTCAGTTTATATAGAAAATTGGCAAGTTTGCCAACAATACTGATACACATTACCAAGTGGAGAACACATATTCCTTTTCACAAGGATACCTTGAAAAATATTCTTTATGATATTAGATGTAGATATTTGACTCTTTTTAGGTTGAGGTGCCAGATCTTACTTTAAAATTGATATAGAATTCATATATCACAAAATTCACCCCTTAAAAGTATCTGATTCAGTGGTTATTAAAAGTCTATTCACAAACTTATGCAACCCTCACCACTGTCTACTTCCAGCACCATTTCATTGCCCCCCAAAGAAATTCCATATCATTAGAATTTGCTCCATGTTCACTCCTCCCCATAGTCCAAGGTGGCCATAAGTCACTTTTCTATATCTAAGGATTTGCCTGTTCTGGACATTGCACATAAATAGAATCAGGCAATATGTGCCCTTTGGGTCAGGCTTCTGGTACTTTTTTTTTTTTAGAGGGAGAGAGAGAGAGAGAGAGAGAGAGAGAGAAAGAGAGAGAGAGAGAATTTTTTAATATTTATTTTTTAGTTTTCGGTGGACACAACATCTTTATTTTATTTTTATGTGGTGCTGAGGATCAAACCCAGCGCCCCACGCATGCCAGGTAAGCACGCTACCGCTTGAGCCACATCCCCAGCCCAAGCTTCTGTCACTTAGTGTATTTCTTCAAGGTTCATCCATGATGCAGCTTCTATTAGTGCTTCATTCCTTTTCATGACCAAGTTCATTTTGTGGATACACTATGAGTGGATTTCAACTGATGAATATTTCCATTTTTGGCTAAAATTAATAGTGCTGTTCTGAACAGCTGTGTGAAAATTTTTTGTGTGGTCACATACTTTTGATTGTCTTGGGTATATGCTAGGAGTGAACTAGCTGGTTATGGGGTAATCCTCTATGCTACTCTGAGTAATTACCAAACTGTTTTGCACAATGGCTATAACATTTTGCATTCCCACAAGCAATACCTGATGGTCTCAATTTCTGCTCATCTGTGCCTATGCTTGTTACTGTCTTTTTAAAAATTATAGCCTAGTGGTTGTGAAATGGTGTTTCATTGTGCTTTGGATTTACATTTCTTTACTGAGTAATAAATAAAACAATGCTAAGCATTGTTTTATGTAGTCATTGACCCTTTGTGGTTATGCTTTGGAGACCTATTTATTTAGACTTTTCCCATTTTTAAATTGGGTCATTCATTTTTTTTATTATTGAATAAATAAGTATTCTCCACATATTTTGGATAAAAGTCTGTATGAGATATATTATTTGTAAATATATATGTCATTTTAGTGTTGTCTTTAAGGTGTTGAAGGTGTCCTTTGAAGCACAAAGTTTTCTTTTTCTTTTTAATTTGATGAAGTTGGACTCATCTCATGTTTACTTGGTTGCCTGTGTTTTGGGTTTCATATTGAAGAAATCATTGCCTCTCTGCAGGCAAGTCCCTAGGTGGCCTTGGGAACCCAGTTCTGGCCAATTTTCTTGTTTGAAGTCCTCAATAGTAACTGTAGAATGTACTTGGAATGCAGCATCTTGAGGTAAGGAGGAGCTAGGAAGAAGAGTCCAGATTCTGTGCTATCTCTTCTGCAACAGGAGACTCCACAATTGCTTTAACTTAGCTAATAGACCCAGAGTTTAAAACCGGGAATAGAGGGTACTTCAGATTCTCTTAACTCCAGCGCAACATGGGACATGGGCAAATGAGATTTGAGATTTTCCCACCCGGGGCAGCTCTTTTGAGCCTTGGGAAGCTACTCACCATGAATCCTGGACTCTCCTGTCAGTTGCTCCCTATCTACAAATAATAAATTTGCTTCACTTGTTGTGTGAGTGTTCCCTCTTTGGACTCACGCAAGAGGTGGACACTGCAGTCCAAGATGCTGCTGTGGGATGAAGTGTTCAGATGTAGTAGTGGGAGAGATGAGCCTTGCTGGTCTCCACCCACTTAGAGTTCTCACCTGGGATTGGTAATCAGGACATAGAAAATACACTTCACATACACGAAGGTCATGAGATTTACATGTTTGCTTCAGAGAATTTTATACTTTTAGCACTTACATTCAGGTCTTTGATCTATTTTGAGTTTTTTTTGTGTGTGTAAGAAGTAAGATAGGGGTCCAACTGCATTCTTTTGCACAGAGATATATAGTTTCTTAGCAGAATTTGTTTAAAAATATTATTATCTCTCCATTAAATGGTCTTGGTATTGTTGTCTAAAAATCAATTGTCATAAATTTATGGATTTATTTGAGGACTTTCAATTCTCTTCCATTGATCTTTATGTCTATTCTACTCCAGTACCATACTGATTAGATTATGGTTGCTTTGTAATAAGTCTTGAAATATGAAAGTATGAGTTGTTTCATATTTTTCATATTTTACAGGAGTATTTTGGCTAATCATGGTCTCTGGAACAGTCACATGAATTTTAATGTTGGCTTATAAATATCTGGGGAAATTGTACCTAGAATTTTGGAATTTTGATAGGGACTTAATCTATAGATCAATTTGGAGACTGCTGTCATCTCAACACATGAAGTCTTACAGTCCAAACATAAGAAATCTTTCCATTTATTCACATCTTCTCTAATTTCATCAATATTTTGTACTTTTCAGTGTGCAAGTCTTTTCACTTCATTTGTTAAATTTTTGCCTAGGTGTTTTATTATTTTGATATAATTGCAAAAGAAATGGTGCTCTTAATTTCATTTTTTAGATCATTCATTGCTAGTATATAGAACAACAGAATCTGTAGTAAATAGTACAACAGAAATTTTGGTATTTGTCTTTTATCCTAAAACCTACTGGACTTCTTCATCCGATTTAGCAAAATTGTGTGTATATGTTTGTGAGAGTCCTATAGTAGTTTTCTATATACAAGAGCATGCCATTTATAGGTAGAGATAATTAATGTCTTCCTTTCCAATCTGGATGCCTTTTATTTATTTTTTGTGCCTAACTGTCCTGACTAGAACAAGGTTGGTGGTGAATTAATTTCACTTTTATATTTCTGAATAAGTATGTCATTTCAGCTTTGAGAACATATTAGCTAGGTATAAAATTATAGTTTGAGTCTTTTCTTTCAGTACTTTATAAATGATGCACTACTGTTATTCTCTCTGCCACCCTGTCCCCTACAACTGCCACTGGGTATTCTAGACAAGATCTTCCCTGCTGTACCTAGACTTACTTAATCCCAGTAAACAAAAGCCTCATGACAGAGTTAGCACCCACCCATAATGGGGGAGGACTGAGTATGTGCACCTGCAGCTCCAGGTACCATCTCTGAAAAGGGTTGAGAAGAGATGCTGAACTTTCTTTGGTTTATTCTAGCAAGTGAGAAAATGCAACAGATGGAGGGTTCTGGGTCTGATGAGCAGTTCTTTGATTTTGTAGTTGAGAAGAATTATATCCCAAATCATGGAGCCACATGGTTTTTCTTTTGCTGTAACGGCTTTGCATGCATTTCTTCTGATTTGGAAGAATAGCATGTGATGCAGGGTAAAACATATATCTCTATATCAGTGCCATACTCAGAATAGCCTAGTTTTCTCTTTCACTATTTAAATGTATCAGTTATCCATAGGATAATTGTAATTACTCTCATGGCATCAGTTTGCATTTGAGCTTTTAATCCTGTGATGCTTCTTGTTCATGGTAATCAGTGTCTATACGGACATATCCAGAAAAATCCCCCACACAGAATTTATTACTGAATCTGTCTAAAATTAAATCCAGGCTGTTTGTGTCTGTTTAGCTTAATGGTGGGTGTAAAGTAGTCTTTGTTACACACAATATCTGGGCATATGAAATAGATGTTTGTAAGCGCACAGACGAGGCTGGTGCTCCATTTGGGTTTTCAGGTAGAGCTGTGGAGCAGCAGGTGGCTGTGTTATTATAATTCTGCCCCAATGGGAAACTCTCACCTCACGCTGAAGTTGGATACATTGGCCTCCAAACAAGGCCCTCTAGGTAATAAAGTGTCTAAAGGACATCAGACAATTATCTGAGGCAAGGCTCACAAGACAATGCAAGTGTTCACGTGCTAACATTAGATCTGGACACTGTGTAGTATTTGTTTCCTTGGACCCCTGAGAAACTCTAATTAGAACTTACAAGCCTCTTAATAATATAACACTTACTTTTTCACAGTAGTATTTTTGTTATATGTTAAGATATATAAGTAAGAGGTATAATAATAAAATGAAAATTTTCAATAGTAAAAATACTAATAAACTGACTTAAAAATGGGCAAAGGAACTCAATAGACATTTCTCCAAAGAAGATACAAAAATTATCAACAGGTATATTATAAGATAGAAACTGCAAATCACAGTCATTATGAGATATCACTTCACACATATCAGATGGCTATTATCAAAAAGACAAGATACAACTGTTGAGGTGGGGTGAAGGTGGCCCTCATACACTATTGTGGGATTGCTGCAGCCATTATGCAGAACAGCGTGGAGGTTCCTATGGAAATTAAAAATGCAGCTACCATATGACCCAGCAGACCCTCACATGTGGGGTACACACAAAGAACACAAAATCAACACCTGAAGAAGAGCCCTTCATTCCCACGTTGAGCATTCTTCACAACAGCCAAGGTAAGGAAGCAGCCTCATTGCTGTCCTTGGATGGTCAAATGGATGAGAAAACTATGGTATTTATAGCAGAGTTTTATCCAGCTTTGAAATAGGAGACCTGGCCCTTTGCCACACATTATCTAAACCTGGAGGACATTGTGCTTCATGAAGTAGCCCAGACACAGAAATAAAAATAGTGCATTATCTCATTTATATTCAGAATCTTAAGAAACAATGTCAAATACAGAGGTCACAGAGATGGAGAATAAAACAGCATTACCAGAGAGATAATAGGTTCAATGACATAAAATAGCAGATATATAGGAGGAATGAGTCTAGAGATGTACAACATGAGGACTAGAGTTAATCATACCATACTGTGTTTGAGTTAATCATATCATCTATGCCTAATGAGTAAGTTTTAGCTATTTTTGTCATACATGATATGATGGATATATGAATTTGATTCACTACAGTGACCATTTTATTATCTAAATGAATTCTATATCTTCATGATGCATACCTTAAATACACATAGTAAAATTTATTTGAATTGAATTAGAAAATTAAATGGTCTATGATAAGAATAGATAGCTTTGTTGATCTGATACTGCCATCTGCTGGAAAAGGTGGGGTGAGAGGAGAGAGAAGCCTGGTGTGTGCCTTCTTGGGGTGTGTGTGTGTGTGCATGTGTGTGTGAGTGTGTGTGTGTGTGTGTGTGTACATGCATGCACGCTCCCTGGAGCGTGGGCAGCAGTAGAGGAGGCTACTGGCCATGAAGAGAAGAGAAGAGATTTTTGTTTTTGTTTTTAAAAGGATACATATGTGGCTATCTTAAATGTAACTCAATTTCAAAATGATCCAAACTTGGTATGTATCTCCCCTCTCAAAAATATTCTTTAATCTTTGCTCTGTAGATTTTCTGGCCATATTATTATTTTTGGAGTCTTAGGGTCATTTTAATCTCTTTAATCTTCCTCACCTCCATAAGTGTTAAGACTTTGTCAGTTCTATACCTGGAAATCCTTTCTTCCCTTTGAACTTCCGTTACTGTTGTGGTAGTTCAAAGCCTTACAATTTCCTGTCTAGACCATCCCAATTATTTCCTGTATTTGTCTTCAAGTGACATGCTTTGATGTTTTTCCTATTTCTTCATTTTTTGTTAGGGCAAGGAACTCAACATGAGATCTACCCTGGTGTCAAAACTTTTGGTGCGCGTACTGTGTTCCTAGCATAGGTTAAGTGTCCCCTCTCCACCTTGTTGCCAGTGGTAACTCGGTCTAATATAGACCTTGCTCAAAAATGCTCAAGAGTTCTTTTTGAAATCAAAATACCATGGAAAACTTTGAGGTTCTCTGTGGTCTAATCTGAAGCCGCCCCTCTTGACTCAGCCCCCACCTGAGCTTACTTGCACCTGCTCAGGGTTTGCTGGACTCTCCACTCTTCCCAAATTGAGCTGCTCCCTCCGCCCATGATGTCACTTTCCAATTCTAATATTCAAGATCCGAACATCAGTCAAGGTCACAGTCAAAGATTCATTTCCACCAGTGCTGCTCTTAAATTCAACCTCTCTGAGCAAGCTTAGAACATTTTTGTCTTTCACTGTGTGTGTGTGTGTGCGCGCGTGCACGCGTGCACGTGCACTTGTGTGTCTGTCTGTCTTCCACTAAATGGTGTGTTCTAGAAGTTAATGTCATACTCTTATTTGTGTTTTTAACAACATAGCACCTGGCATGGAGTAAACTTAGCAATTCTTTCATTAAATCTCCCTGTAGTCAAGATTGACTTTATCCTCCCTGAAATTCCTAAACTCAAGAAAGCACAAATCATTTTCTTCTTATCCACCCTGTCATTCTTCCATTACCTGAGAAGTTACCTGATTGCTTATAAATGAGTGTGCGTTTCTGAGTCAGGGAGTCACCAGGTCTTCTCCAAGCTCTGAGATTGGTATCCACACTAGGACACCTGAGGCAGGACAGTCCCCTATGGCCCCAGGGGACGGCATCACGTTGAGTGGCTGATGTTGTAGGGGAAACTCTTAGAGCTCTTTTAGACAGAAGTTTTTCTCTGAAATGATGCTTTAGTCTTAGGCAGACCCACTACAAATCCTTGGGATGACTTTCTCCAAGCTGTAATGAGCAAGTGGTAGCCCGTCCCCCTCCCCATCAGTTCTAGAACATGAGACACTCCTCAGGCCTTCCACGGCTTGTCTCATTCTCAGTTGCATCTGACTGGACATCATGCCTTCTGGGAGCCCAAGGACAGTGGAGAAAGAGACAGGAACTGGGGAAAGGGCAGAGGGGCTTAGTATAATGCAACGTCAGGGAAGGGCTCTGAGACAGGCCCTGGAGCAACTGGAACCAGGATCCCCCCTCCCCTTTCAGTAGAAACACATGGCAAATAACCTGGTGGGCAGGGCAGGGCTATGAAGCACAGAGACTCTGGTTATCTCTGAATGTCTCACGAATACCATGCTTAGCATAAGAGCCTATGTCTGTCTCTCTGTGCCTCCCCTGCCTTAGCTCAGAGGCCCCAATCCGTCACCAGTGTCCCTGTATAGGTGCCTCCTTGAGAAGCAGGCCCACCACTTCTGTGGTACCCAAGTCAGGGTCAGAAAAAGTCAAGCCACAGCCTCTGAATTCAGTCTCCACTCTGCCCAGTATCAGCTGCTAGATCTAAGCATCGGTATTTCTTATTCTGACAGCCATCCATCCAAACTCTCTACCAAGTCACCATTCCAGCCTTCTTAAAAGCCAAAATTTTGCTGGGTGTGGTGGTGCACACCTGTAACCCCAGCAGCTTTGGAGGCTGAGGCAGGAGGATTGCAAGTTCAAAGCCAGCCTCAGCAACAGCAAGACTCTAAGAAACTCATTAAGACTCTGTCTCTAAATAAAATACAAAATAGGGCTGAGGATGTGGCTTAGTGGTCAAGTGCCCCAGAGTTCAATCTTGGTAACCCTCACTCCTGCAAAAAAAAAAAAAAAAAGAGTCAAAATTTCTAGTTTCCTCAAGTAAGGATACTATTGTTTGTCCAAACTATTGACAAGTTTTGTGGTCACAGCACAAGGTGGCCAAGCAGAGTTTGGAGCTGTGCAAACCTCTTGTAACTCTACTTATTCTCATCTTTCTTCAGAGAAATGCATTTTTTCTTAGAAATTTTCTACACCATTTGCCTTCCTATTTTTCTACTTCCAAAAGCCATGCCTTAGCTGTCTTTGCCCTGGGCTTTCCCTCTCTGCTTTCTCTAACTGCTTGGCCATTTCTAATTCAATATGATAATGGTAGAAAGAACTGTACCCAATAAAAATTCTATTTAAAATGCCAACTGTTCAATTGAATCGCTGTACATCTTGTACTTATCCTCTTTGAACTTCAGATTTTTTGTTGGTAAAATGGGAATAAATTACATATTTTTAAGATGCTGGTGAGGATTAAATTAGAGCATATGTGAAGTGCCTAACTTCACACATTATAATATGTTCCTCTAGGAGATTGTCAAGTGCTCTAACATAACTACTCTTAATGACATGCCATGTTTATTTGAGAC